CTTCTCCCCCACGCAACCTCTCCATGGAGCACTTGACTTGCCCATCCCTCCCTCTGTGCCCTCGGACCTGCCACATCCCCACATCCCCACATCCTGGCTCACTTCTTGCTGTAGGCTCTTTCTAGGAGGAAGTGGGAGAGCGCAGAACCAGTTGAATGTATTATCTTTCCTAAAAAAAAAACCCTTCTTTGAATAAGAATCAGTTATATTTTTGACAGCTTGCGCTCCCACAAAAGGGAAGCACATGCGCCCACCCATTCTCAGCGCGCAGGGGCCCAGAAGGAAGGTGCGAGAGCCAGCTCACCGGTTCATCTTCCTCTTCTGCTGGGACTTAATCACTGTGCTTTCTTCGTCTCTCTTTTTCAGCACCTGGAAGTTGTACTCTAACTTCTCCTGGTTTAGCTGATACGTTGCTTTCATTTGCTGGAGCTGTTGCTCAAGAATCTAAAGTTAAAGTTAAAAAAAATATCACCACTTGGCCCTGCTTTAGTTTGTTACGCCTGAGGGTCCCTGGTAGTACATTCTGGAGTCATATCAGAGGAACCTTAAGGACAAGTGTCCCACCTGAACCCTTAGGAAATGTATCATTAGAGGCAAGTTAAAGGCCAACCAGAAAATATATAAATCATTCAACTGCAAGCTATCCCCATGGTCCGCTGCTCCAGACCCTTCAGAGATCTGAGCAGCCCCACTAGAAATACCGTGAAAGTTAATGCTGCCACGGAAGCCTGCAGACCACGCTCATTATAAAGAACAGACACAACCATCCTTCCTTTCGGGGTTTCCATTCGCTGTATTCATGCATTCAGCAAGTATTTATTGAGTGCCTAGTATAGTATGTCAGACATTTTACTAGGTGTTGCTGGGAAAACGCTGGTGAAAAAGGCACAGTCCTGCCCTGTCCAGGAGAGAGACAGATGACAAGCACTGGTGGTAAGAAGTAGGAGAGGGGTAAGCACAGGCTGGCATGGGACCAATGAGAGGAGCACCCCCAAGCCAGGGCAGGCACCCCTGAAAAGATGGCGTCAGCCTGAGACCCAGAGAATAGGTAGGAGTCACTCGGGCGGCCACCTGAGAAGAGAAAGTTCTAGAGAGAGGTGCTCTGGGGAAACCCCGAGCTCTTTAGGACTGAGGTATGAGGCAGGGGCTGGTCAGGAACGAGGCTGACAGGCCAGCAGGGCCTGGCCACGCTGGGCACTGAGCGCTTCATCCTGAAGGCGACGGAGGCCGCTGAGGACGGGAAGCAGAAGAGTGGAGTGACGGGTCCACGCGGGGGAAGGTCATTCTCACAGCCGGCGAGAAAACAGATCAGAGGGGGCAAAGCTGGAGGCCGGGCAGACAGACGGCTGGCTCATGCCCCTCCTGAGCGAAACGAGGAGCGAGAACGCAAGTGAGTGTGCTCAGGCCTCGATAAAGCAGCGACATGTGACATGTTCTTTCAAGCCTCCTTCCCATCTCCCTCCGGAGGCCGCAGACCTTTGCCAAGGAAAGCACAGAGGAAGCGATGCCAGGCAGCTGTCACCACCCCGTGAGTCATCCTCTGGGGGCACTGGGGGGGCAAAGGCGCTGCACACACGTTATCAGAGGGTGAGTCACTTCCACCGTCCCCGTGGAATCCGGTGATTCCCCACTTTGTCACTGAAGGAATTAGTCCACAGCGCCCTTAACTCTCCCAGATATGGGGCAGGGACGTGAACGTCCCCTTCAGAACAGAAGCCTGCAATATCTACTCTCTAACAGGTGGCCAGCGGTCACTGGGATGACAACCAATTGTGCCTCTCAGATTCTCCACTTGTTCAGCCAACTTTTTAATTCCATTTATTAGTTATATGGTTTTCTTTGTAAAAACTTGTGGAACTAATATTTGCTCATTGTAGAAAATGCAGAAAGTACAATGAAGAAAAAGAAGACATAGGAGAAGGGGGAGGGAAAGCTACCTATAATTCCACTCCCCAAAGGCAGCTCTGTTAACACTGACATGTGCCCTTCCAGTGTTCTTTACATAGTTAAGGTCAAACTATAACTACAACTTTATATCTTGTCTTCCTCTCTTAATATTACAACATAAGAATTTCCACATTAGTAAAGTTTTATTAACATAATTTTAATGGTGCATAATACTTTTGTAAAATGATTTACCATATATGAAGTATGTATGGTTACTCAACATACAGTTTACCATTTCCCTACAGTCGTACATTTATATTGCTTTGGTAATTTTCAATATTAACATAATTCTGGGGACAACTGTATATAAAACTTTTGGGGTATTTTTTTATTTCCTTAGATTCTCTGAAGTGAAATTACTAGGTCAAAGGCTCTCAATAAATGGCTTTCCAAAGGGCAATTTATGGTTGACACTCCCACTGGCCATGTGTACACATGCCCACTTCCCCACACCCTGCCTGCACCGAGCATTGCACAGGACAGGCTATGAGGTTCTAAGTGCAGGCCCAGCCCTTGGGCGGGGGTGCTTGGGGTGTGGTAGGGAGCTGCACCTGACTCTTCCTAAGCATGATTAAATTTAATTTTGAAAATTGCTGACTTGAACAACACCCGGAAAGGCCTATGGAGGATGCTAGCAGTGCAGCCTCTTTTCAAGTGCAATAATCCTGGCTGGTCCTAGGCTGAGCAGTTCTCAGCCCTGGACCCCTCTAGGGATGGCCAAGTGTCTACCAAGGAAAGGGACTCAGAGCAGCTCTTCCTGCAAAGTCACAACAATTTATGTCCTCATGTTCCAAATGAAATCAGCCTGACAGCCCTGGGCACAGGGGAGGTCATTGGCCTATGAGCTGGCACAGCACAAAGTCCAATAGAAAAGCTCCGTGTTGGATGGTGACAATCAGAAAGTATGAACATTCATAGAAGAGGAGGGTCTCCAGGGCTGCTCTGGATTTGGAAGGACAATGAGGGGGGTTCTTGTCTTCCCTCTGATCATCAGGAGCCCTGAGACCCAGAGAGCCTGGATGTCTGCTCTCAGGATGTCCAGGGACCTCCTCCTCTGCGTAGCTTTGCAATAACTCTTATCACTAAGATGGCATTTCCCAAACTTCCCTAACCACAGAACAGTTTTTATATTCATAACGCAGTGAGAACTTGAATTATAAATGCAAGCTCTACTGTGAACTTCCATGTAAATGCCATTCTTCAAGGTAGATTGTACATAACAATGACTGTGTAAATGGACCCTACTTCCTACATATTGAAAGGAAAAAATACATCACTGGCCTCACTTTTTTGGTTAGTTTTGTGAAAACATTGCTAGTATCTCACTTCGCTGAACACAATTTAGAAAATTCTGAACTAAAGTAATTAGGTCGTGTCTTTTCCTTTGTGACCTGAAAGAACTTAAATCTGTGCTGCTTTTCTAGGCAAATGATAATAATAATCACCTGTCACTGACTGTTTTAATTTACATGGCTTTGCTCATGCGTGCTGTTGAATATTTATTAGCGATTTTATTTCCTCCTGTGGAACACGTTGGCTCCTGCTCTTTGCTAGAGCACGTTCTTCGAGGACAGGCGCCTAGAGGCACTAGCGATGTGCCGGGCACCTCTACTGACCATCTCTACAGGCCGCAGGTCAGCCACTCCTTCATCTTAGCTCTGCCCCAGGACAGCCTCTTGAGTTCATGACATCACTGGCGGTACTGTCACTGAACTTACAGAATTAATCAGTCTTGTGCCTCTTACAGTGGAGTCTGCATCAGGCAATTACATGAATCACATTACTCATTACTGGTTTGCAACACCTAAGCTCACCATGATTCTATTGCTAATTATCTCAGGTTTTAGTCTCAATGTACAGCCGTTCCTGGTCGTCACACACTGAATGTAGCTTTATGTTTTAAAATAATGATTAATTATGTTAAATGTCTCCACTTATTTTTTCAATTATCCAAAGGTATTTTGCAAAGTTGTACTTTATGTTGTGATTAATATTCTGGTATTAAGGGTGACAGCGCCTAAAGTTGAACTAAACCATTTTACAAGTTCAAATGAGCACTTCAGGCCCTTAAAAAACAAACAAGCAAAAACATGTAGCCATTTACTTCCTGCATTGAGAACTAAGTTTTCCTAGCAATTTTATTTAGGGGTGGGCGGAGGTGGTAAAATTCCCCTGAGCAGTGTTTCTCGGCTTCTCGCTGCTCATTCACAATGTGNGTACAGCCGTTCCTGGTCGTCACACACTGAATGTAGCTTTATGTTTTAAAATAATGATTAATTATGTTAAATGTCTCCACTTATTTTTTCAATTATCCAAAGGTATTTTGCAAAGTTGTACTTTATGTTGTGATTAATATTCTGGTATTAAGGGTGACAGCGCCTAAAGTTGAACTAAACCATTTTACAAGTTCAAATGAGCACTTCAGGCCCTTAAAAAACAAACAAGCAAAAACATGTAGCCATTTACTTCCTGCATTGAGAACTAAGTTTTCCTAGCAATTTTATTTAGGGGTGGGCGGAGGTGGTAAAATTCCCCTGAGCAGTGTTTCTCGGCTTCTCGCTGTTCATTCACAATGTGACACGACTGGCAGTAAGCACTGGAAAAGCATGCACTTTTTTTTTTTTTTTACTTCTTTTATTTTACCCATCAAACCAAATATATGTATATTGGATCCTTTCTATTTTTGTAATTTACAAAAAATTTAGTTCTGTATTTCAGAACTGATTCAATGCTACGAATTAGTTAGGAAGAGCAAATTTGACATTGAGCTGCATGCCACATCTCCCTGGCAAAAATCGACGCTGCTTGACTTTAATGTCCGGTGAAAGTGCAGCTAAGAGGCACTGTGATGAAGTCCGATCTACTAAAATATTGCCCACACTGCAATACGGGAAGTCCCTGATCTGATTGTATTTTCCCAGTTAAAGGGATAACGCAGTAGAGTGCACTCTTGGTTTCCATTCTAACCCAGGAAAATCTGTTTTGCAGAGGAACCGCACACACTTTCCCCTCTGAATATTTCCGTCAGCCTGCCTCCCGCATGCCCACACTCCAGCATGAGTCCTTCCAGACAGGGGCAGCCAGGACAACCAGCTCTCCCAGGCTCGCTGCCCCTCTGTCCCCTCACCTCCTTAGTCTTACCTTACCTTCAAACTCCCATAACCTCACCATGTCCCAGAATTTTTTCGTTTTGTTCAAGCATTTGAAAATTAGATTAAGAACATGAGGTTCCACTCCTACAACTCAACAGCAAAAAAATAAATTACCCAATTAGAAAATGGGCAAAGGACCTGAATAGACATTTCTCCAAGAAGACATACAGGTATATGTCCAACAGGTATATGAAACAGTGTTCAACATGGCTAAGCATCAGGGAAACTAAAAGCAAAACTACAATGTGTTACCACCTCACACCTGGAAGGATGGCTATTATCAAAAAACAAAGGACAAGTGTTGGCAAGGATATAGAGAAAAGAGGACCCTTGTACACTGCTGGTAAGAATGAAAATTGGTGCAGCCACTATGGAAACAATATGGAGGCTCCTCAAAAAAATTAAAAATAGAATTATTATTTGATCCAGCTGTCCCAATTCTGGGTAGGCATCCGCAGGAACTGAAATCTGGATCTTGAAGAGGTATTTGCACTCCCATGTTCATTGTAGCAATATTCACAAGAGCCAAGATATGGAAACAACCTAAATGTGCAGCTGTCGGCTAATGGATAAAGAAAGTGTGCCACATACATACAATGGAATATTCTTGTCTTTAAAAAGAAGGAGTTCCTGCCATTTGCAACAATACAGATGGACCTGGAGGATGTTATGCTAAGTGAAACAAGCCAGACACAGAAAGATCTATGTGATCTCACTTATATGTGGGATCTAAAATGGTCAAACTCATCCAGCTGGCATGGCTCAGTGGTTGAGCATCAACCTAGGATCCAGGAGATCACAGTTCGATTCCCGGTCAGGGCACATGCCCCAGTTGCAAGCTAGATCCCCAGCAGGAGGTGTGCAGGAGGCAGCCGATCAATGACTCTCATCATTGATGTTTCTATCCCTCTCTCCCTCTCCCATCCTCTCTCTGAAATCAATAAAAATATATTTTATAAACATAAATAAATAATAAATAAATAAATAAATAAATAAAACAAAATGGTCAAACTTATAAAAGCAGAGAGTAGAATTTGCTACCGGGGCTGCCAGGGGCCAGGGGTGGAAGAAATGGGGAGGCACTGGTCAAGGGTACAAAGTTTCGCTTACACAGAATGAGTAAGTTCCGGGGATTTACTGTACAACAGGGGGCCCGTGATTAACAACGTCATATTGTATACTTAAAATTTTGCTAAGAGGGTAGATCTTATATTAAGTGCTCTTACCACAAAAGAAAAAAACAAAACAACAACAAAAAAGAACACAACGTTCCATTATTTCACTGTTTGAGGTCAATGGTGTATAGTTTTGTCACATAAATTATCATATTACCAAGATAACTCCAGAAAGTTTAACAATAGCCATTTTCATTAAAAGTGTAATGTATGCAGCCCACACAAGTAGTACCGCTCTATTACAGACTCTACTGTTCTTTGTCAGTAACTCTCCTTTCCATGACATTCATACGAGAAAGGCCAAGGAAATTTTTCAAGAGCAGTAAAAATATTTGTAGTCTAATGGGACTTTTTATTTCACCTCTTTATGTAAAATGACGAGAGGAGTGAGAACGAAAACTCTCCCAAAGGCTATGTGGAAGAGCTTTAATCTAACATGCTTCTCTAGGTAGAGACTGAAATGAATGAACCGAGCTTGAGTATTATGATGAAATTGTAATGCATCTGAACGTAATTAGAGCTGTGTACTTTTTTTTAACTGATGTTGAAACACAGAATCCTAGACTTGGAAAGAACTTTAGAAACTAGAAAGTCTACCCTCCTCCCACTGCAGGAATCCTTCGGCACTGCAGACAGACACCATCATTCAGCCTGTGAGTACGTTCTGGGATAAAGGACTCTGTGTTTTGAGGAATAATCTTTTCTACTTCGGGCAGTTCTAACTAGTAAAAGGTTCTTTGACGGTGAGTCAGAATCTGCCCTACAGCCATGTCCAACCACCAGTGAGGGGCTGTTTGGAATTATTGCAAAGGTGCAGGCTATCGAGCCGGCAGAACTGGGTTTGGATCCAGCGCTGATCATTTACCTGATAAGTATCCTTGTGTTTGAGCCTCAGTTTGCTGGCATAGAAAACGCTATTAGTGATTTCTCCCTTTCACGGTAGTGTGAGGATGAGAGAAACTGCCTCAAGGGCCTGGAATGCGTTAGACACTCATTGGATGGTGGCTGTCCTAGTTTCACCCTCTGACACAGCTAACTTGCTTTAGGGACACTTTCCCTCTGCTCAGCTAGAGTGCACAATTCTCTCAACAATTCCTCGTGGGTCCTGGTTTCGAGACCCCTTTAGGCATCTTGGCAGTTCTCCCCTAGTTATTGGAGAAAGCATTTCCCCACGTACGTCTTGTACATGAGCTCCTTCAGATACGGCCATTTAAAAGAAGGCAGATCATCAATAAGTATCTGCTGAATGGACCAACCCCGGAATGTCACCGGGAGACACCGAGGGGGAAGGCTCCCGGTGCTCTCCGGCTGCTGCGGCTGAGGAGCGAGTCCCACCTGCACATCCTGCTCCAGCTTGATCTTGATCATGTTGTATTCTTCAATGTCCCATGTCCTCTGCTTGTTCAGCTGCTTCTCATAGTCCTCGGCTTTCCTGAGACGGTTCATAAGATACTCCAGCTGAAGGCACAGGAAGACAAGGGGAGGTCGGGCCCTATCCCTGTCCCAACTCAGTCCTTCAGGTGGCCTGACAAGTGTGACACAGGGGAAGTCTGAAAGTGTCATGACTCTCCAGGGAGTCTGTCAGGGCTCAGGAGCCCCTGTGCCCCAAGGCTTTGCATTGCTTAATGGGGTCCTTACTCCTGAAACTCCAGGAGGAACGTTGCACTAGGAAATTAAGCACACGGGATGTAACATACAGCATAGGGAACAGAATCAGTAATGTAATAACTAATGCATGGTGCCAGGGAGTACCAGACTTATCGGGGCAATCACTTCGTAAAGTATATAAATGTCTAATCACTGTGTTGTGCACATGACACTAATATAATATCATGTCAACTGTAACTGAAAAATAAACTGGGAAAAAAGAAATTAAACACAGACCCTGCAGTCAGATGCTTGTATTTCTATAAAAAAAAAAAAGTATCCACTGAATCTTGGTAAAGTTATTTCTTTGTTCTTTATGTCTCTGAAATAAATTGATAACCCTATACCCTTTAAAATATGTCTTAGAGCACTTTCTTGGGCCACGAAAATATCCATGGCTGAGGCAGATCCCCAGGAAACAAAGGAGAAAGTGACAGGAGCATGGAAACCACAGTGAGCTGCCAAGGCGGCACCCACCACGAGCGGGGGGAACGGCCCTCAGCAAGACTGCACTGATGAACTACGAAGAACAGTACTGAACATCTGCATGGTGATCTTCCCCAAGATACAAACGGCCAGCTTGTTCAGTCACAGTAGAAATCACCCAGACTCCAAGGACCCACGCTGACATACCCACCCT